GAGGGGTCAAAACTAAAACAGGGAGGAATTAACTATACTAAATAACACACAAGGAAAACTAACTAGCACGACACTAAGGTAAACTACAATCAAGGGAAAACCAGAGACAAGGCTAGACAAGGCTAGACAAGGGCATAGACGACTGAGACACGACGCGATGAACCAGCGGGGAACAGAACAAAGGCAGGAACTAATATACTACAAGGGGTAATGACTAACACAGGGCAGGTGAGGCTGATTAACAAAGACTAGGGAAACAGGACACAGGTGAAACCAATTAACAAAGACACTAACAATCAGGGAAACTAAACACTAACCAAGGAAGCATATATCACATGGAAGGTACATAGGCAATAACATAAGCAGGGGAACAAGAAACAAAACCAAAACCAATTACAAAGCAAACACCAGGAATAATTAAGCATAAAGGAAAACACCAGGGAGCTAAATACAAAAACAGAGGAGGCGGGATTCGAACTCACAACAAGAGGGAACTCAGGACCGAGGGGCAAACAGACAGCACATGTTTAATACATTGAGCCACGAGACCAGACAAGTAACAGTGGAGAAACAAGGACTGACGTATGGACGGGATGACCAGCACCACCTGCTGGTCAAACGGGGAAGGGGCACGGAAGGACCACAGTGGGAGGCTGACCCTGACAGACGGCCTGGTTCAACACATGACTCATTTGTCCTGGAACACAGCAGTGTAGGGAGCAGACTGCAGGTTGGCGCTGCGCGCGATGGCTGGCTTCTTGGTAAGGTGATAAAAACATTGTGTAATTTATAACTATTCATTGTTCACGCATTGAATCATTGTGTTATGAAATACAGGTGACAACGGCTACCCTCTCAAGCGCTGGCTCCTCACCTCCCTTTCAAACCCCCAGAGCACATAGGAAAATCGCTATAATGATGCTCACGTTCGTGCACATACCGTTGTGGAGCGTGCGAACGGCCTACTGAAATACAGATGGTGATGTTTAGACACATCAGGTTGTTATACCTATGAAAGCCCGTTTCTGCCACCGTGGAAAAAACGACGAAATTTCGACTTGAATTATATATATTTTTTTCCACGGTGGCTTCCATACCCACAAGAACATCTATCTCAGTTTCAGAAAAAATTCTCTTCTTACTTTTCCCCTCGGTTGCCATGATGCCATGAGTTTTTCAGGTTTACATCGGATGCTTAAATATGCATGAGGGGATTTGCATTGACCATATATGGTTGAACGTGGGTGTGTAGAGGTCGGAATATGCGGCAAATCCACGTGCGTACAATCCCAGGTAGTGTGCGATTTATAAAGCGTATATTTCTTGGAGGTGAGCGTGCGCACGTTTTTTAAAATCTGACTTTTTCTTCAGCCAGAATATGCAACATGCTACATGCGTGTACAATGCAACACACTTTTTGCAGACTGTATAGCAGCACCCCAGTGGTCTGGTCCAGGCAGCGCCAGCAGCCTTTAAGCTGCCCTACAGTGCGCTCTATATTATATCATTATAATGCCGCTCTTCTTCATTCTGTGGGTTTGCGAGCGGCTTGAGAAGCCACGACTTCAGTGGGTACCCACTGTCCCCTAAGGAGTTGTCAAATGGTTAAATCAAACAAAGCTTACAATATTGGGCCAAATTATAAAATGGAAAGAATCTTCTTACCGAGCAGTCAGCCATCACGTACCACTCTATTTTAAGGTTTGTTTCCAACACTACTGTTTCTGAGAATAAACGAATCATGGGTTGAGCCAGGCCATCTAGCCACAACATTAATGCAGGGGCGTCAGAAGCATTTTGAATGTGGGGGGGGGGACACACTGGCATAAAACTAATACTTTATGTTCAATGTGGGGGGATCCAAACAAATAAATGTGAAATGTGAGGGGGACACATGCATTAATGAGACGCATCTTCGAATCGCACATAATTTGTACATTAATAGAATGAAAGTGCTTTCTATTTACATAAGCAAATTCGTTCCCTGAAGGTGTCTTTATAGCAATGTGCGTGCAGTCGATGGCTCTGATTACATTGGGAAAACCGGACATCGCTGCAAATTGCGCTTTAATGTTTGCCTGTTCAACCACAGTGTAAGGAAATTTTATATATCTGGGTGACAAGCGGATATGCCGTCCCATACAGCTGGCATGGTGCGACTTGGTGTTGACTGAGAAATACCCGATCGGTCCGCAAGTTCTTGCTGAAAAGCACCTGTGGCTAAGAACCCGAGAGTGGACAGAACTTGTAAAGGAACAGGTATAGCGCAATTTCTCATCATCTGCCTTTGTAATGCTGGCCCCAGTTCAGCACACAGCTCCAAAAGGATTGCTCTTGGAAATCTGAATCAACTTAGAAGCCAGTCATCATCATGGGCCAAGAAATCACTATGATCCCTGAATACGCGCTGTCTTTCTTCTAATTCTTCCATAAGCTATGTCTTCCAATAACGCAAGAGCTGCCATGGTGGTTGTAATAGTTTGGTCATTTTCTGCACCGTTTTATTGTTACAAATTGATTATAATCGGGTGCCGTACATTTGTAAACAACATGCAATTAATGTCGGTGTATTGGATAAAGTCAGCATCATAAATTTGAGTTTAAAAAGGGAAACCACAGTAGCAATGATTTGCTACTGGGTACCGTCCATTTACAAAACCGAGCAGAAACGTGCGTACGCCGTGTCTGGAGCTGCCATGAGTATGTGCATAGCGGTACGCCAAGTTTCGTTTTTATACATCTCGACGTGAGTGTGGAAACGGACGTACGCAGCATTTTCGTGCGTACGCACCGTTTATACATGAGGCTCCAGGTCATGACTGGTAGTCACATTTTTGAATTTCAAATAGGAATGTTATATTTATAATTAAGAGATTTGTGCCTAATGTTACCAAGAGTGACATATCCAGAGCTCAATCCAATGCTATAGAAAATAACTGCTATGATTTAGTTTCAACCAAGCATCTATGTGCTGTTCTTAAGCAGATTGCTAACTGGTACATCCATTGTACAGTATTTATACTGTATGTGTATCTGTCAGAATAATGTTTCATGTCTGATATATTATTTACTGCAAAAATGCACTCTGTTTGGGGAAAAGTTTCTGTATTTACCTTGAAATCTAATCTAATCTTTTCACAAAATAATATTCTTAGAATATATGGATGAATTTCTTTTAAAAAATCAAAGAAGTTGCCATTTAAATTATATATTTTCCCATTGACTCTATGCATGGTTGACATGTTACCAATTACATAGATTAACGAATAGATACATAGGGCTACTATATGGAAGTTTGGATAAGAATTGTAATAGTAATAATAAATCTGAAACATGACAAAGTGAGAGTAAACATGAACTTCCTTCCAAAAGGAGCATTTGAACATTTCATTATTTTTCTTGTGGGGTTTAAATTGCTTTCATTGATATTTTGTACCTCTTTTATTTCTAATGTACAGTGAGAGCTTTCAGACAGGTGCCTTTGGCACTGCCTTTTTGGGCCAGTATTCTCCAATGGCAACATTTGACCTCTGGGGAGCATTACTGCCCTTTTAGAGCTAAATATTTCAATACGTCTGTGAGAAATACATGATCAGTTGGATGATTTTGAGGTTTGTATTGTTCTCAAAATTTTTCATCAACAGCAAGTTGGAACAAAGTATGTGAAATAGGATGTTAGCTTTGTGCTAAAGGCATTGCGTTAGGATTTTCCATGCGTGTTTTTCTTTATTGCAAAATATCAGCGAAGACATGATCTCAGTGGATTAATCCACTTTCCTGTCTGTTGTTAACTTACATAATAGGCACATCTTATGGGTACTTGAGGTTTGAGTTGGGTGAACTAAAATTATACTCTGAACCTTGAGATGGAACCAGTAACTACACCGCCTCCCACCATCCACACACATATGCACAAATACCCCAGACTTTATTTTGTTTTTCTCCTCCATCCATATTTTCTTTGGTTTTCTTGTCCTTACATATATTTGGGTTTTCAGCAATAAAGGCCAAACCTCTGAGGAGTAGCTGTCTGAGCAATATATAACCGGATCATTCGAGTCAAAGAGCATATGTGCACTAAACAGTCTTCATAAATAATTCAAGCCAGTGACTGCTAGCTATTATAACAAAAATAGTGAACTGCATCTGGACATATGCTGCTTGCTTGTAAGTCAATAGATATGCTCAGGGCCGGCCCGTGGCATAAGCAATATAAGCAAATGCTAAGGGCGCCATCCATCCAGGGGGCGTCACAAACGGAGGAAGAAAAAAAATGTAACATTACACTATTCTTAAAACTAGTTGGTATTAATGTGTCTTAATATGAAAAGAACAAACCCACATGAATTTTCCTGCTTAGCAAAGCCTATTAAGAAGTAGTAGTAACAGGGGCGGTCGATCTTATAGGTGACATAGGTGGTCGCTTAGGGTGCCAACTTCTTAGGGGACGCCGACTTGCCAGCCATTTTCCCTATGCCTGGGGCGGAGGGCGCCAGCGCTGATGCTCGCCTAGAGTGCTTCATCGGCTAGGACCATTACTGGATATGCTTTACCTATTCTGTTAGGCTTGTTGAGGACCAGCCCAATCAAATTCTGTGTAGTTGATTTCTACACAGCCAATAACAGGGTGTGTGTATTTGTGTGTGTGTGTGGCGGGGGCTGGGGAGTTATGAGAATTTGTTTTTTTTGTCCCCACAAGGGGAAACTTAGTTTTATAAAAATCTTTTATTTTGCTTGGTTCCTTATGGTTATGATTAGGGCAGGGTGGGGGTTAAGCTTGTCATAGTTAGCGTTAGCAATTTTCCCATAGAAGTGAATGAGCGGGCCCCTTAAGGATAGGTATACCCGACATGTGCGCATGTGTGTGTGTTTGCATAGGTTTACTTTAATACTTGTTATGGATCAATTAACAATATTACATTGTTTGAAGGGCAAATAAGTGGTTGGTGATGTCATTGTCACTTGGACAAGTTTTGGTGCATATTGTATTATAACAGTCTTCACTTGCTGACGAACAGGGCACATTATGCTGGGAGGATTGTAGAGTGCACGGCTTTAATTATAGTGCAGTAATATACATGTGATTTCACAATGCAATGGTCTTGCATTTTCTTCATTTATGGTCATACTTGTGACCTGGTTCTATGCACTACAAAGAATGTATATATGTACATACAGTGGTACCTCAGTTCTCGAACTCATTATAACTCGAATTTCTTAAAAGTCAAACCAACCAGTTTGAAAAAAAATCACCTAGAACTCTATCTGAATCTCAGAAGTTGAACCGTGATCACCGATCTAAGATAACTTGTACGCGCAGGGAAATGAGTCGCGGCATGTCTCTCAGCGGAAACAAAGGGTAAAGCTTCAGTCTCAGCCTCGCATTCGCTGTGATAGCATCGTGCATATTTACACTAGCTGAATACATATAGGCCTATTTAGACAGTAAAATACATCTAGACAATGATAGACAGTAACAGTAATTATATTATTATATAATAAAATACATTTAAAAATAAAGATTTCTTATTAATTATTTTAATATTAATAATAAACCATTAATACATTTAATTATAATAATATTGTCGTGCCCAGCGCCCATATGAAAAAAAACTGTATGATTCATATACAGAAACCATATATTTTTC